TAGCGACCTTTTGGCTACATAGAAACACTTATTATACTGTTAAAATGTAAATTTTCCCTTATTTGGGCCAAAATTGTAATTTTTTGGAAATGTACGATAATTTTGACCCTGCGTACGATAATTTCGGAAGGTTGGTACGATAATACGCTGGGAGCCGTCTAACATCCCTGGGCTTCGCAGAGCAGACGGCGGCGGCGCGGGTACAACGGCCGCCCGGTCACGACACGGCAGATTCGCTCCATCGTCACAACCACCTGCGTCCCTCGCCGCTCATCATATGGCCCCCTGTGTAAAGCCCCTCTCGCAGCGGGGGGCTGCCGCCGCCGCCCTTGCCCGGGTCGCGGCTCACCCCCTGCGCCATACAACCCCTCAGTCCTTCGCCCCGCGCCGCCCCACGCCGCCCCGCGCCGCCCCGCGCCGCCCCGCGCCGCCCCGCGCCGCCTCCTTTGTGTGAGCACCCCTCGCCCTCGCATGGCCTCGAGCACCCTCGCGACGCCGAGCAGAGCGCGGAGCAGAGGAGGGATTGGTGGTGGCGGAGGCGGCGCTGGCGTCCGCGGGCGCGAACACGCGTGAGGGGAGGGGGGGGCGCTTTGGGGTGCACAGAGAGGGAGGGAGCGACGACGTCACGGGGAGAGGACATGTCAGGACCTGCATCGGGTCAGGGACTGACGCCGCCGCCTCCGACGACCGTTTAGATCCCCCCCCCCCATCTCCCCTCACCCTCTCCTCGTCGGCCGTCCTCCCCACGCGCGGCGCCTGCTCGCCCATCCTGCTCCCTTCTTCGAACAGCCAATACATTTTGCAGCAGAGCAATAAGCCAAACAGTCCCATGGACCGCGACCACACGGTCTGGCCGGCTGGCTGGCGGGGCTGGAGTGGAGTGATTCACCACCCGTCCAGTTCCCAGGACCACGCGTGCCTCGTCTCGCTGGCCTACCGCGAGTACCACGTGGTCAAGACGCCTTCCTCGTGCCCAGAGGACACCCTCCCACAAACGCGCTATGCGCTGTCCATAGTAGTCGAACTTCTCCAGTCCACGCACGGATCGCCCCGGTGCTTTTGATTTCTTTATATTGTTATTATTATTTCCCCCGTGGGTGTGAGGCGGCGGCGGCGGTGGTTCCGGCCGCGCGGGTCTTGTTCCAACCTCCCCGCCCTTTTCCTGCTTCGCTCGCAGTGCCCTCCTGTTGGGACGTGTCAACCACCCACCCACCCAGCCGGCCGGCCGGCCGGCGTGCCATCTACCCGTCCATCTGTGCACACTCGGCACTCAAGTCCCGCCACCGTTTCCTCTTCGCCATGATGCCGCACGTTTCATGCCACCCACCCCGAAGATTGCGCCACATTGCAGACATCCCTCGACCAGTAGTCATCTTCCTCAAGACCTACCTGCACCCTTAAAACGAGGTTCTTGAACCAAGTAAATATCCTTGGAACAAGTCAATAGACCATTTCAGTCGCAGTGACAAGAAGAAGAAAAGAATACCCGAAATAGGAAACAGTTGGGCGAGGGGTGAAGAGGGACGGGGGGTGGTGGGCGATTAGAAGGCAGTGCTTTTCCGGTTTGTTATTCTTTTCTTCTTCTAATCACCGAACCCTGAAATGGTCTATTCCCTAGCACAGGTCTACTAGGAAAATTACTTGTTCCAAGGATATTTACTTCAAGAACCTTGTTTTTTGGGGGGTGTGCTGGGTGGGCAAGCTCGAGTCAGCGGCACCTTCAACTTCAATGAGGGTGAAGACGTTAGTTACCCCGCTATCTCGAAAACTGAAGGCTGAAGAACCATCGCACGGTTTGAGCCCCCGTCTCCAGCCCGTATAGGCAACCCGCCCGCACGCCTGTTTGCGGAGTAGTATTTTCATTCGTTTCGCTCCGGCTTCGTCGGGGCTACGTGGCTGGATTTGTTGGGCTTGCCGACGGCCCCCTTCCTTTACTAAAGATCAACCCCGCGCGTTTCTGCAGCTATACTGCACCGTGCGCGGGCTTGCCTATCGCCCCTGTCCGCGGTGCCTCACGGGCGGGGCGAGTAGGCAACCCGCCCGCACGTAACGAATGCGGTACAGTATGACTGCAGAAGTGCGCGGGGTTATCAGCCATCGGGCGGACACGAAGGTGAAGGTGGAGACGTTCACAATGGGACTGTCAAAAAAATACGTCGTTGAAGCTTCCGCGTCCATAATCTCCCCCCTTTCCCCTCCTTTCCCCTCCTTTCCCCTTTGCAATTTCCCCGCACTCATCTGCCGTCCGTTGCCGCCGCCGGTCTGCGCATCACAGCGATCGCCGCCTGTACGGCGTGGCGGGGCCGGCGGGGCCCGTGCTGCTCATGCGGTGCTCGATGCTAACGACCTTGCGTGTTGCGCAGTTGCGGCTCGGCTGTGCATCCATCCCAACCAACCCCCGTATGTAGCCGCCGCTGTCAGACACGCACGCCGCACGCCGGCCGCTCCTGGACCAACAACCAACACCAATGTAGATGATGATGATGTTGAATCTGCTGCTGCTGCTGCTGCTGCGCGAAAGCGCGTGGATTTGTCTTGTCGCTCAAAGTGTCGATCGAGGGAGGGGAAGGCGCTGCTGGAGCGTAGGGTGGTCCTTTGGACGTTCACAACTACAGTTATAGTTAACCCCGCGCGCCTGCAGCATCAGCAGCCCCCTTTCGCCCCTCCCCTCTGCACTACCGCCCGCGGGCCGCGGCCGCCGCGGCGCAGTTTGACACCAGCCCGCTGAACAAAAGCCCCGGGCCTGGCCTGCTGGCCGAGTGTAGAGCGTGCAGCTTATCTAATCGGTTCGGTTCCTGCCTGCTTCGCGCCCTCGACGCGGTTCGGCCGCGCAACTTGTAAAAGAGGAAAGCAAAGATGTGCTTTTCCTGGTAAAACTGACTTGCTGAAAATTTGGACTCTGTAATAGGCTACTCCGATTTAGCAGTATCAGCAATCTCCTATCCTCCCCCTCCCCAGTCGAAAAATTCCCGGGAATTTTTCGACTCATGGGACGTCCCATGGGTGACGCGATCACTGGAAAAAGTTTAAAAAACAGGTATTTGCGCCTGTGGTGACGTCACATAGACTGCCCGCACTACACGCCTGTAGCGCA